ATGGAATTGCAACGGACTATCACTTTCGAAACAAGACGAGCTCCTGCGTTGGCTCAGCCTCCAACCCATTGATGTGGCTTGCATCCAGGAGACGCATCGATATGCCGATCATGAATGGCTTGATCCGCAGTGGACATGCATCCAGGTTGGTACACATGTGAAGAGTCCTGCCGGTCTTTTGATCTTGATCAGGAAGAAACTATGCCCGAGCACTCACATCTCCTCGCACACATATATTGCCGGACGCCTAACTCATGTAAGATTGTATATGGAAGGACATAACATAGACATTATTGCTTGCTACCAATTTGCATACCACGCCGACTTGACAGTCAGACAATCCAGAACACACTTTTGGCAGCAACTTGAAGAGTGTCTTGGTTGCCTTCCCAGACGCAATACCCTGGCCATCCTAGGTGACCTCAATACGAGTCTACCTCACATGCCTGGCCTTGTTGGTCTGTCCGACTTTCGTGCTGGACATAAGCTCAGAAAGCATGGTCCCAAGCATCATGATGCCACAGACCTTGAACTTCTTCTTCGAACACATAACCTAGTTGCCTTGAACACCTGGGACTCATCTCATGGGCCCACGTTTGAATCCCCGCTAGGATCCTCCCGGATTGACTACATCATCACCAGGGCCAAGCAGGTCGATGGATTAGCTAAACGGTGCTGTGTTTTAGACACCTTTCCGTTGAATGCTCTTGCTGGCAGTCGGCACTATCCCATCCTGGGTTCGATCAACCATCGATGGAATCGAGTTCAACTGTCCTTACCCAAGAATGCCACTTACATGCAACGCATTCGATGCACGGATGCATATCATACTGATTCGTCTACATGGCACTCCTTTCATTCCGACATGCATAGTCTCCTTGAGGAACCAATGGTCCTGTCCGACGACTCCAGCCTTGTCCAATTGCATGCGCAGGCACTTGACCTGTTTCGGCAGCATTTTGACCAGCCATCGATGCAAACAGCACCGTGGGAACAGACATGCCAGAAAACGCAGGAGAAATGGACCCTCCTCAAGCTTATCAAGCAAGAACACCGCACTGACCTCAGCTCTCTGTTTCGAATCTGGGCCAGAATCACAGCTTTTCGCACTGCCTGCCACAGGCACAAGCAAGCCTGCCACGAAGTGAGAAAGGCCAGAATAGATGCCATGCTGATGCAAGCACGTGAGGCAGCAGACATTCACAACAGTCATAAGCTTTATCGCCTTATTCGAACTCTCTCCCCCAAAACCAAGAGTAGGAGGATGCAGCTTCGATCTGAGACCGGTCAGCTTTTGAACCCATATGAGGAATTCTGCTGTCTTTGCCAACATGTCAAAACGACCTGGCATGGTACCCCGCATGTTCCACGACCACATCCACCACCGGGGGGTGCCATTCGACATAGAGACACTCCAGAAAGCTATTAGATGCATTCCTTTCACCAAAGCCACTGCCCCCAGAAGTGCGCCTGCACCATGTTGGGTTGTGGACCCTGATATTGTTGCAGAAAAACTGTGGTTCAGTCTCCTATCCTGGTGGAACAGTGTCCCTATTTATATCCCTCAATCATGGAAGGATGCCACACTGTTTCTCATGCCCAAGCCGGGGAAGCCTTCCACACGCCCCCAACAGTTAAGACCTCTTGCTCTCCAAGATCCACTCGGAAAAGCTGTTTTGGGCATAGTTGCAAAGATTGCTAGGGACCAATGCCTCCACCAGCTTTGTCAAAGACCGCAGTTTGCATACCTCCCTAAACGGGGGGTGCTTGACGCCATCAGTCGCGTGGTAGGCCACTGTCAACAAGTCAGGAAGATGATACAGGACTTCTCCCTCACTCGAGCACGCACGCACCACAGACAAGTTCCACTCATTTTTGGAGGTGTACAAATCAGCTTAGATCTTTCGCAAGCCTTCGACTCCCTTCCTCGACCATCCTTGTTTGACAGTCTATCCCGACTTGACATTCAGGATAGTCTCAGGATCATCATGGAGCAATGGCACTTGGACACGAGATACCATGTACATCACAAAGGGTATAATGATGACATACCAACAACCACTGGCATCCGGCAAGGATGCCAGGCTGCGCCACTGCTCTGGGCATTTTTTCGCCCATGACCTGCTCGAACACTTTTGCCAGGTCATTCAATCCACCTGGGCGCAAGAGCATGTCACGATTTTTGCTGACGACATCCATGCGGGAGCCCCTTTTGAGTCCCTACTTGAATTGCAGCAAACACTTGTAACTTTTGGTCAGATGCTGGATGTCATCGAACACAAAGGGCTTAGACTTAATGTCCAAAAGTCCTGTGCCCTCTTGATCATGAAAGGAAAACACTGCACCAGACAGTACCATGCCTTCACACGATGCACAAAAGAGGGCTTCTGTCTTGTGATTCCCCGTCAAGGGGGGCAAGGAAACGCTCTTTCGGTTACATTCACAAACACAGTATCTTGGCATAGTTTTGACATACACCAACTGGGAAGAAAGAACACTCACGCATCGAATCCAATCAGCTCGTGTGGCCTTCCATCGACTCAAGAAGTGGTTGCAGAGCAAATCCAGGTTGACATTGAAACAACAACTCCTGGTCTGGAAGTCGACGGTCATTAGTACACTCATGTTTGGACTTTTCACTGTTGGCATCACACCCACTGGACTTGCACGCATTTCATCCATTTTCATGCAGCAACTCAGGTGCATCCATCAAGCATCACGCTACATGAATAGAATAAGCCACCAGGACTTCCTTCATCAATATCACCTAGAGCCACCACTCGTCTATCTATGGAAGAGGGGCCTTGCTGAGCTGACAGGCGTTCGGGCACGGAATCGATCCACATTCCAACACGACATCACCAAGCCTCTTCGACTTGTCACACTCGATGATGCACTTGATCTCATTCAAATGTCCCTGACAGGTCCAGCCCCACGTGACATCATGGATCAGACGCACACTTGCGACCGATGCTCAGGAACCTTCCCTTCGTTGAAAAGTCTGCATGCACACCAAGCCAAAGCTCATGCAAAGCCTCGTTTCGGTGTTTCTCACACTTTTCGTATTGCCAGGGACAGTCTAGATGGCTTCTCTAAATGCAGTCATTGTCATCGCACCCTGACCAATTTTGAAGAGCTGAAACGCCACATCACTCAAGCACGTTGTCCCAACTTTGACCCTGCCAAGGCGGATGACCTATCCTTGCAAGAGAAACGTCAGGCACTCGAGAGTCTAGCAGACCCACTGAACTGGGAGATGATCGCCGCCAACCAGGCACTTTGTGACCATATGAAGCATCATTGTATCCTGTGCGGCAAATCTTGTCCCCAGATCAGGGAGCATACCAGACATGCTCGTCTCGACCATCCCGAGATTGCTACCAATGCCTTGGCAAGGCATCAAACATGGACCGCCCAGCACACGGACTCACCATGTCCTTTGTGTCACATAGCATTTCGACAGAGTCACTCCTGTCCAGTTCGACTTCAGGTTGCACTGCATCTTGAAGATCTTGGAGCAAGCAGCATTGATCAAGTGCCACTCAACACCAGACCTGAGGTGTGCCTTCACTGCGCCAAACCTTTTGGCACGCTCTTGGCACTCCAGCAGCACATCCAGACTTGCCACCGGACCTATAGCTGTGTCAGAGATTCCCAAGGAGGCACGGCGGTTTGTGCTCACTGTGGAGTTGACTGCAAAGAGCACTGGAATCTTCGAGCTCATATTGACAAGAACCGATGCTCGAACTTCAATGTACATCGACAAGACTCGACTGCCCTCATCCTTGACAGGAATTTGCACTTCCACCTGCTGCAAGGTGACATCCGGACCCTTCTCACGACTCCGGAAGATGCATTCCACCTGACACAGGTCTGTACCATATGCATGCAACAGTTCAGAAGGGCCATTGACATCTTACGACACCTCCAACAGAGTCATGGGGAGCATTTCCGGCTAGCAGACCCCTACCATGCTGTCCTGCTGGAATTCACCCAGAAGGATGATTGTGTTTGCAATCCCTCACCCTGGCTGACAGCCGCACAGGCCAATCGACACAGCTGCACGGCATACCGCCAGTTAGCCATCCTCCATCACCACTTGAATCCTGACCATCGATGGCTCATATTACCAATTGCATTCACAGAAGAAATCCTCACCAGAGTTGCCACCTGGAACCCGGTCCTTCACAGCAAGGCTCCAGCACTGGTCCAACGACTCCTACGCCAAGAACTGCACCAGATCTGGTCGGACCAGACCATTTGTCAGGCCCTCAAAGAGCATTGCAGCATATGCACATGTCACAAGACGGATCTTGTGGAGCACCTGACACACAATCACAAGGCCTTCCTGAACGAATTCCCTGCAGTGTTTCGATATCTAGCCATGAACCTCAAACGGCTAGGCCATCCTGACCATTGTTGTGCTTGTCAACACAGGGGAAATGCATACCAACTTGAAGATGACACCCCCCTGGCGAATGCTGCAGCATATGTGCCCAGTACTGATCAATTGCGGCCTCTTGCTGTGCAGGACCTTGCTGCACCTCCAGCGCAAGCATGGAGAACATGGAGGGAGTGGTCCTGACGGAAGCCGACAGGCTCAGTCAATTAGAGACCTCCTTAGGCGCAATGCTACGGTCCAACAGGGAGCTCAGCAGGGATCAGAACCGGGATGCACCCCAGCCCCGAAAACGCCAGAAACCGGCGCGGGGGAGTGCGAGAGATCACCAAGGGGAAAGCATCGACCAGCTCACCAGGATGTTGGCCATCTTGATGATCCGCCACGAAGACAGCCTGAACAGCTACCAGAGTCAGGACAGCTACATCATCCACTTCAACAGGACGACCAACGGCTTGATCGACCACATGGTGCAGGAAGCCAGTTCATGGAACGAGAGGATGAAAGCCAACACGGCGGACCTCCCGCCGTTGAGGGTGCATCTTGCGATGGGTCTCTCCCATCAAATGATCACCCGCTTCATCGAGTTCGGGAAAGCCATCCAGGATCCCAAGATCAAGCAGGGAGCACTCTCGACACACCTCCTGCTGGAGAACAATGTCTTCCCCTATCTGAAGTGGGATGCCCATCGCAAGATGACAGTACCAGACAACCGGCCGGGCATCCCACTCAACGAGATGGAAGCTCTCCTCCAACGGCTCCAGGTCTTGACCAAACTCAAGACCAACGTGGTCCGCTTCCACTCTCTGCAGAACATGAGCAAGACCACGGATGTGGTGCCTTGGAGGCTTCAAGTCTCCATGAGGGACCAGGAGCTCAAGGATGTGATGGACAAGCTAGCAGCGAACTCAGTATGGCTCCTCATCAGTGCGAGGGTACGCCAACACACACAACAACGCAGCAAGATCGCCCAGGAGATCCAGGATCTTTTGAAAACCTCCAGTCGGGCATGATTCAAGCCATGACCTCAAAATGGCTCCAGAGTACGGGCTTCATCAATGAGGGAGTGCAGTGCTATGTCAACAGCTCAATTGCATGCACTCTATGGGCTATCACTCAGCAGAGCAATTTTGACAGTGTGCACCTTGGTCCTCGACGCAAGGCCATCGTGCAACTACTCCAGGCTGAACATCCCATGCACTTGGCAGCTCATGGGGCACTGGCCTCCCTGTTTGAAGAGTGGGGGGGACACTCACAAACAACAGGATGTTGCAGAATTCACCACTGCCCTGCTGACGTGGCTAAAAGCCCCGGGGATCAACCATGAGTGGCAACGAGTGTATTCTGCCACTGATGGCTTTTTCACTGAAGATGGGAACTGCAATGCCAACAACGTGCTTTGCATCGATGTGCTCAGTGAACTTGAAGTAGAAAAGCTGACACTGGAACAGCTGCTCCCCACATGGCATGAAGCGCTCCACATGAAAGCAGCACTCGTGAATGACAGCCGTATCATCATTCTTCATGTCACCCGCACCTGGCCGCTCATCCGAGGTATGAGGCTTGGCACGCAGCTGACCTGGGGAACAGGCATCCAGATTCCCTTCTTCGAGGCAGACTACACCAGGCGCTGGGAATCGTATGAGGTTGTTGCCTTCAGCTGCTACAGTGGAAGTGGCTCCACTGGCCATTGGAACTGTGTCCTCAAGAATGGCACAGAATGGATCCTTCGTGATGATCACAGGCCACCACGCCTCCTGTCATCCATCCCGTACTACCTTGCCGAGACTGCCACCGTCTTCTGGTTGATCAAGACGGCTGAATGCATCTCTCAGCCGCCAGTGTGGACCCCC